TGTATGAATTTTAATTTAATTAATCATTAGTGATTGTTGCTGCTGATAACTGCCTAGTTTCTTCTTTTTTATGATAAACATGGACTTGTAGTAAAAGCACAGATCTTGTAATCAGAGATATGTGGTATAATGTCAGTGAAATACAGGACAGTTACAATTGTGAGGTGATTACATTTTGAGAAGTGGCGTTTGAGTACAGGTTTATTTCCTAAAACTTGACTTAAGATTAACTAAGAAGAGTCTGAGCATTGCCACTGCAAGTGTCTAATTTTTTTCCGGGGGTGACTTGGGTGGCATACTTTTCATTGCATTTATCTGGTAATCTTTAGCTTACTTTCCTTATTTTGACAACAATAAAAGTAGGTTTATGAGATCACCTTGAAGTGTGTCTGTATGTGAATCCCCCATAACACCTGAACCGGTCTCTATGAAACTTGGTATGTATGTCATGGAACATGACCCAATCTCAACAGCATGTTTTGTAAATTCCATCACTAATACCAACATTACAGCCTCTTAAATTGCTGAGGCAAAACCTTGATATTGCTTGAACACCCATATAAATCTTCGTGAAACTTGGTTTGTAACTCATGCCACATGAAGCCATCTCAGCAGCATACTTTATAATTCCGTCTCATCAGTAATACCAACACTGAAGTGTTTCACATTTTTACAGTAATAACTTTAATACTTTCTTCTATTTTCTTTGGGTCAGATGAGACTGAGTCCACTTGGTACATCATCCACTAATTAGCCGTTGTACCTGCCCCAGATGATAGATGATGAGTGTTGAGCAGTCAGTGGAATGAAAATTAGCCGGTGAAACTGAAGCACCCAGGAAAAAACCTGTCCCAATGCCATTTTTTCCACCACAAATCCCACATGACCTGACCTGGTCTTGAACCCGGGCCGACTCTTAAATTTCCGAGGCGAAACCTAAATATTGCTTGAATGCCTGTACCAATCTTTATGAAATTTGATATGTATATCATGCCACATGAAGCCATCTCAGCAGCTTACTTCATAATCCCTCCCAATTTTAATACCAGTGCTGCAGCCTCTCAAATTGTTGTAATAACCTTAATATCACTTGAATGCCTGAACTAATATTTATGGAACTTAGCAGGATTATCATGCCACCTGAGTCCATCTCAGTGGCATTCTTTAAATCCTTTCCATCAGTAATACTAACACTGCACCCTCTCAAACAGCATTTTTACCTCATTATGCATACGTACTGGTTACTTTCTGCTTAAGAATTTGTTGTACCTAGATAAGGTAGTTGCCCCTGTGCACAACCACTACATTTTGAAGGCATGTAGAGATTGTGGAGGTATAGCTGCACTCATTGTAGACGTTTGCAGTAAACCAAGGTGAGTGGAATTTGAACCCTCGCTGTCTTGCTCTTAGCCAATCACTTCACAAATTATACTGTTACAGCTCTTTGTAGAAACAAATTTAACTAACTTATCTGAGATTTAACAGTATAAAATGTAGACTAAATTCCTTCAGGTTATGACCCCATGTTGCCTCTTACATGGTTATCAGTTTTTTGGAAGAAACTGCAGCTTCCATCTTCATGGTAAGAGTTTGCTGAAGATGGAGGTAGTATGTTCCTTTAAAATGTTGGTAACCACCATAACAGACTACACAGTGTCATAACCCAGAGTATCACAATTTAAATGCAGCTGTAGTCTGTATATCAATTTTGACCAAATCTGGCAGGAGTTTAAAATTTTGACAAGACAGTATATGAATAAATCTTGTACAGGATAGTGTAGTCGGTATAACGACTGGCTACTGGCTAGACGACTGAGGGGTTGGAGTTTGAGTCCCTGTAGGGTCAAGAATTTCTTCACATCGTCCAGACTGGCTATCCAATGGGTACCGGAGACTCTTTCCCCGCAGGTAAAGCTGACCAGTCACCTCTAGCTAATGCCGAGGCCAACCCCCCATACACTTATGCCTTCATGTTGTAGTGTTTAATTAGTTAAGCACATGGAGAACCTTACCTTTACATAAAAGAATACAACACCTCTTTGTATAGTGTATGCTACACTGCACTGCAAGAGGAATTTTGTATGGGACCTACAGAGCTAGTAAATGGATTAGCATCTAACACCCTCTCCATTCTGTACATTGTGTCTTCTATGGCCAGTATGTGCTGGTGGCATGAATGCACCTGTTTTCCTCAGACTGCTGTGTACCATTTGTTACATTGTCTCCAGTCTGGACACTGATGCTGCAGCTTTTGCATTTCCATCAGAAAGCCACACCAAAATATATATTGATATACTCTGCATTAGTAAATCATGCCACCTTGTTTCATTGTTATCACTAGTTTACCATTGAAAGAAATCTGAGCCATAAGTGAATATGTTGTGAGTTCTGGCTTGTGATGTTATGAAGGATCCATCATGCAAACATATCAAGAGTAAGAGTTTGAAGCACTGGCAAATCAGACAAATATCTGTTTGAATTTTCTGTTCTGAATTATCTCTCAGCAACCTCCTAAAATCTGGCTGTTGAACTTTGAATCACTCAGTATATACGAGAGATGAGCAGACAAATGTAGCATGTCCAGTGACATTCTTTGGGTTGCAAGTATGCACATAGAATGCCTGAAGGGAGTAATAGCAGGACAGCAAAACTCATGCTGGAACTTTTGAACAAAATAAATTGCAAAAAAACTTTTCCATCAGGCATTAAGAAAATATTTAAAGAGCATCTTTCCACATAATTTTTGTAACCAAATGTTTTTCTACAGTAGTTAAGTCTTATATACACAGCTGTTGAAATATTAAATTAAGCACTATAAGTTTTTCAATTTTTTTCATCTGGTCAGGAAACTTTTAGTTCAAATTAAATATCATACACACTTTATACCAATGGAATCTTGCGGCAGTATCAGAAATATAAGGAAACATATTTACAACTCAAGAATAGTCTGTTGATAAAGGAGTTCATTTTTATGGATGTTTTCCTGAACTTGGACTTTTAATGGAGCCAATTCATCTTTCTGAATATAACAATATTTCTAGTGTTTATATTATGCTGATAGTTAATGTGATGTTATTAGAATACTGAAACAACTGAATCTGTCTTACAGGATTAACTTTACCTTTTACCTTTTCCTTCACACATGATATGTCAACAGGAATATAAATAAAATTTCATTTGAAATATTATTTGAAATGTTCTGGACCCTCATTTAGGCTCAGTATCAAAAGGTTTGAAATGAAAAATCGTTTTCATTATATTAAAATACTTTTTATTAGGTACTTCTGCCCAGATAATAATGGTGACTGTTGGAATTGAACTTTGGGCCTTCTGAATATTAGGATAGTATGCTAACCTGTAGAAAACCAGAGTGGCTTAAGCTGAGGTAATTATTAACCAATATGCTTAAATCTAGTACTAAATTTTATTGATGGCATAATGGTAACTTATTCAATTAGTGAAACACATGTGTCAAATATTGCTGAAAGGATTTGCAGGATTTGGTGTAAAGAAAAATTGTTCCAAGTTAAGGAGAAATACAAAGGATATCTGGAAAGTAAAGCTACAAAGTCCAGAAAATATTTGTAAAGCATTTTTAGGAGGGATTCACTTGTAGCACTTTTACAACACACCTTTATTTACTTTTCAACATAGTCACCATGGATCGCAATGCACTTAGTGAGCCTGGGAATGAGCTTTTTTTATTCTAGCATCATAAAATCTTCTGTCTGCTCTCTTAGCCATGGAGAATAGTTCTCGACACTTCTGGACATTGTTGATGAAGTTCATTGATGGTTAAACATCTGTCAGCACAAATATTTTTGGATCATTTCATCAGGTACAAGTGATGGCCTTCCACTCCTTATGTAATCATGAACATCCCCTTCATCATCCCCGCTTCATTTTCACAACACCATTTTGCCATGTTTTTCCTGTTCATAACATCTTCGCCATAAACAGAAACAACAGCAGTTTCCCCTTTTGCATGAAGAAATTTAATTGCTGAATGAATGTCACATTTGGCGGGATTATGAATTGACACAACCATTTTAAACACAAACTGCGAGTACAACGTTGCCGTGACTATGACAATATCTGCTACACCACTTTATTCAGCAGCTTATTAACTTACTTCTGCAGCAAAGGGAAATCCTTTGTATCTTCTACATTCCAACAACCATTGCACTTTTGTCTTCTTACTTTTACTATTGCACTTAGTAAAAAGCTTCACCAGACAAGCTAAATTCAGTCCAGGCACACTAAATTCTTGTGACTGTGTAGCAGCAATTTTCCCACAAACTTTTTCAAAAAGCTGTAATTCTTCTTTAAGCCAGTGAGAATAACTTTTTAAAAACCTGTCCAAATGCCTAAAATGTTCTGCCCAACCACTGAGGTCTGATGGAAACAGTTTCCTTGTGGTTTATATATTGATTATATATTGAGTGGGATGTCACATGAGGTCAGTTTTGAAGGTCAAACTTTCTTCAAGGAACATAAATTGCTAACTTCTAACTGCACTGCAGCCAGATGTCAGAACGTTTTCTGGAAATCATATGCTATGCCAACAAGAAAAGTACTAACAATTTTAAGCACAAGAGTATGCAAAAAAAAATAATTTTTAATAGAACGTCATTATGCACAATGATAAAAGCTTTGTAATGTACCCCATGGTAGTCTCTTGCAAATGTCATTAAACATGAATAACAATTTCTTTAATATTTCTACTATGTACTCCTAAAGTTACATTATACAAAGCTGTAAGTTATATAGTCTAAAGATTTTATTAAAAATTACAGAACTACATCTACAACTTCCACATCTAAATGAAAATAAATGATATATTTAATATTTCATGGTTGTAACAGTAAATGCCTTAATTGTTGCCATGGAGAGTGGCAATAATATAAAACTTATTTTACTGCAACATCTAAATATTGCCACCAAACTGTCCACCATATTAAAACATGCTTCGTACTTTCAAATAATGCTTTATACCTATGGTAATGAGTCAAAAAATGAATTTCACCCAGTTAGATCTGGCACAATACATACTGATAGCCTTCTTGAAACTTCATAATCCTTACCCTCCTACTGTTTCAGAGCCATAAAATTACAAATTTCTTGCACAGATCATCTGCTGGGCTCTTACAGCAATTTCAGCAGACTATGTTTTATATTTATTTTTTCTGCAGAAGTTATGTCATAAATGAAGGAGCTTCTGTCATCTGCTCGCAATGCAGTGGACTTTCATTTTATTTTGGCTTATCCCTTCCTTCTTCCTACGCTTCATGTCTTTCTTTTGGATATCTATTCCATTTTAAGTTAATCTTATTTTATTACTTTATTTTCTTCATCCTATAAATTCATTTTATTTTTATCACTTATATTTCTACTCCTGTCTGTCTCCTCCTTTCATTCCTCTTACACTTTTGCACCACTATATATGCCCTTGGTATAACTATCACTTCTCAGTGCCACTGTCTTCTGTTGGTCTGTCCACAGTTCTAGTCCTTGTCCTCCTTCCCTACATCAAAACCAGTTTTTTTCAATTCCTGCTCATTTTTCTATCTTGAAGCTGGAGGCAGAATTTTCTTCCAAAACACAACTACTGTCTACCAGAATAAACAGTATCACATCATGGAATGGGGGGGGGGGGTAATCTTCACATTTTTGATAGGTCATATCTGTTATCAACATTACGATTAAACTTGAAGAATCAGAAATTTAAATATCCTTCCAAGGTAAAACAATTTGTTTCAACTGCATATCAGTTTTCATGTATTTTGATGTTAATGCTTCTGTGCTATACAGTAAAGTTCATAACAACCTCAGATACAAGATCTAGTTTTATTTATTTTCACAGTGACTCAATGTACCAAAAGCTGAATTCTGAAATAACGACCTAGTGTTCTAGTAGCAGAGACATTTATAAACATGGTGCACAGATACTGACAACTTGGTGCAGGAGCAGCCTATATCACAGAAGGTTGCCTTGACTTCCACAATTGTGAATCAGTAGTCAAGTAAATCATTCAATTTGCTCAAAATGGAGCAATGAAGACATTTGCATCTAGGTGGTGTAAATATCTGCAAGCAAAAAAAGCATTTCATTTTTTCAGTATGACCTGGAAACTAAGCACCAATCCATGCATTGGAAGAGTCCCAGGTCATCAAGAAAAAAAAAAAAACATGGAAAAGCAAGTAAAATTTCAAAGCAATGATGATCGATTTTTCGATATCTGAGGGATTGGGTGCCTGAAGGTCAGACCGTTAATCAAGTCTACTATAAGGAGATTCTGACAATCCTTCATGGACGGGTGAGAAGAGAAAGACCTGAAATGTGGAAGAAGGGCTTATGAATTCTTCACCATGACAACGCGCCAGCACACAATGCACTGTCTGTAAAAATGTTTCTGGCAAAGCACAAGATTCCCATGTTGGAACATCCACCCTACTCACTTGACGTAGCACCATGTGACTTTTTCTTTATTTCCAAAGATCAAGTCTGCATTAAAAGGAACCCATTTCGAGTCTGCAGATGCAGTGAAGGCAAAGGAAACGGAGGTAATGAAGAAGCTATCAGAAAAGGACCTGCAGCAATCCTTCCAACAGTGGAAAATTCGCATGGAGCTGTGTAGGGGTCAAGGAGGGGACCACTTTGAAGGTGATAACATTTCCATTGTGTGATTAGTTGAATAACAGATTTTAGAGCATCAGTATGGTTATTTTATAGCCACTCCACGTAACTTTGTTCAACATAATGTTCTTGTGTTAGCAATGATGAACTGTCAGGTTCTTCTAGTAAAATGTTTAAGACTTAAATTATATCAAACAACCAGAACTCCTAATACATATGAAGGGCGTTCCGTATATAATGCCTCCTATTTTTTTGTGTTAATATGTGATGCCTGAGCTGGATGTTGGTGGTGTTGTAGTAAAGGTTGAACCTTCTCGCCAATGTACTGTTAGTTTGGTTGTCGTGCACAGATAGCGACAGCAGAGCAGTCTACCAAAATGGCGTCTGACATAGAAGTGTGTATGAAACAGAGATGTGTTATTGAATTTCTCACTGCCGAACAAATTGCACCCACTGACATCCATTGACGCTTGTTAAAGGTGTACAGAGATGATACAGTGGATGTCAGTACAGTGAGGCGGTGGGTAGTGCATTTCAACAGTGGCAATAGTGAAGTGCACGACAAGCCACGCCCTGGGCGTCCCTGCTCAGCTGCCACTCCTCACAATGAACAGCACCTCGATCAACTCATCCATACAGATCGGCGGATAACGACCAGGGAACTGCGTGCACAGCTTAATATCGACTGTAATGCATTGGAAACGATGTTGGGGTAGCTGGATTATCGGAAAGCTTGTTCCAGGTGGGTCTGGTGGATGCTTACACAGGATCACAAAACTCACTGAATGGAAGTCTGTCAGGACCTGTTGCACCAGGTTGAGGCTGAAGGTGACAAGTTTCTAGACAGCATCGTCACCGGAGATGAGATGTAGTGTCACCACTACGAGCCGGAATCCAAAAGACAGTCCATGGAGTGGCAACATCCAGATTCCCCAAGAAAAAAGGAGTTCAAGACACAGCCATCGGCGGGGAAAGTGATGTGCATGGTCTTTTGGGATAGGCGGAGTGTGATTTTGTTGGATTTCCTGGAGCCTGGTGAGACTGTCAATTCTGAACGCTACAAGACGACGCTGACTAAACTGAAAGCCTGCATTTCCCAAGTCGGGCCAGAGAAGCAGACAACCTTTTGCTTGCAACACGATAACGCTAGACCCCATACCAGTTTGGCGACCACCGCACACACTGCAAACTTTGGCTGGACTGTCCTACCACTTGCACCTTATAGCCCCGATTTGGCATCTTCAGACTTCNGGGGAAAGTGATGTGCATGGTCTTTTGGGATAGGCGGAGTGTGATTTTGTTGGATTTCCTGGAGCCTGGTGAGACTGTCAATTCTGAACGCTACAAGACGACGCTGACTAAACTGAAAGCCTGCATTTCCCAAGTCGGGCCAGAGAAGCAGACAACCTTTTGCTTGCAACACGATAACGCTAGACCCCATACCAGTTTGGCGACCACCGCACACACTGCAAACTTTGGCTGGACTGTCCTACCACTTGCACCTTATAGCCCCGATTTGGCATCTTCAGACTTCCATCTCTTTGGGCCTATGAAAGATGGACTACATGGGCAACATTTTCCAGACAATGATGCTGTCACTGCAGCTGTAAGAAAGTAGTTAGCCTCTGCTGGCACAGACTTTTACAGGCGCGACATACAGGCTCTTGTTCATCGCTGGCAAAAGTGCCTAACGAATGGTGGTGATTCATTCATTCATCAGTAATCTGTTAGACGACAGGTCCACAATCTCTTCCAAAACTGTAATTAGCTGTAAGTAGTGTTATTATGCTTTCTGTATGTGTTGTAGTTTTCGTTAAAAAAAACAGGAGGCATTATACAAGGAACGCTCCTCGTATATATGTTCTTGTTCTTCAAATATGAAACCCAGAACAAGGTGATGCAACACACGTTGTGTACACACAACAAAGGTCTGAGGGTCAAGTTTGGCAACTATATCCCTTTTCTAAAAAATTGTAGACAACTGAGACACCTTATATGCTAAAAATATTAACGGCATTATCTGTATTGCTGAATTAATCCCTTTCTATTAATATGGGGTATGAAAGGAACTGATTTAGGGGGGAAATACAGACAAAACTAAACATCTGAGTATGTTCTGAAACCAAACTCTTCAACACAGGAACAATGAATGAAATACTCAGAAGGAAATGGAATAATGACAGTAAGATAATATGATGAGAGTGGAAGAAACTATATCAGGTTCATACCCAATGGTGGCCTTTGGTATTAGCAGTATTTAATCTTCATGGTTCTACCTTCAGAAATTTGAACAGGAAACACAAGAGTTCACCACAGTGGCAGAGCACGACTTTTAGAAAAGTGTTGACCAAATCCTGTGGTAGTGGGAGGTCATGAAAATTCTGGCAACTAAGCATATACATTATACAAAATAACTAGCAAATGTGAGCTAAGAAATAATTATGTCAAGGATTAACGGGGAAGGAAATATCAACTAGGGAAAAATGGTCAGCAACAGCTGAGCTTGCTTTTTATTACATCTGCTACTTGTATTACAAATGATGATTTTTTTCTTGGTGAAAATATCTATCACTGGGTCACAGAAATTTGGACTGTTTCTACATCTTGAGAAATTTTCTTCTCAGGAGGCATTAATGATAACTTATTATTTTAGTGTCTCCTGAGTGTTGTGAAGGTTAGGTATGGATTTTCTTCACGGCAAAGAATATCCACTTTGACAAATGCACTGGCTGCTGGATCTGTTGATAACAGGCCAGATCATTTTATGAATTCTAATAATTCTGTACTCAGATCTGAAGCAATAAAATATTAGAGGTCTGGAATATCATTTTGTAAAGATTCTTCTAATGAATAAATAACACAAAGTTCAGCTTTCAGAAGAGAAACAAAATACTGTCCACATGACTTCAATTATAGCTCATAAGCAGTAGCTTGAAACTTTTTAGAGAAGTGTTTAAAATGTCCAAATTCCAAAAGAGAAAGAAATTTTAGTCTTACAATTTCAGAATCAATTTGTCACCTATCCCTCCATTCTAACTGTTCTATATCTCCCTGTGAGTAGGTGTCATTTTCTGATCAACCTATTCAAAGCTCTTGCACTTCTCTGCCTCCCCCCCCCAAATTGAATTCTTACACTTTTTCTGAACAGCAAGTGATGTTACTTTTGTTTCACAAACATTTTAGCTTTTAGTAGTACTCCTAAAAATACTGTAGCATGTAGAGCCATTTCTAGGCAATGACTGCAAAAAGAGTTGTGAGCTATTGCTGTTAGAAGCTGTTAGCTGAGGCATGGGGCTAGTTTGGGAACCTGGTTTCAGGGTAATATCCGCCACTGGAAACTGTTACCAGACAAAGAATGGTAAAGGCACAGGAGACTTAAAAGACCCAGTGTCTACTGTAGTGAATTGCAGTGTGTGTGAATTAGCACAGCGCTATATTTAAAATTCAGTAAATGTTCAATAAACCAAATTTCCAATCCAAACCCTGTTTATAATCACTCATACACATCACAATACTTTAAAATAACAAAAGAAGTCATAGCATGATATTCTAGAACAAGAATATGCATTTTGCTGCCCCATTCTTACCTGTTTGCTTTCACTGACTGTGTCCTCTGTGACCAACATGCAACTGAATGGTATTCACATTTCCCACTTGGCTAACATAGCCTGTGATAGCTTAGAATGTCATGTACTACCCCCTTTTCTGAAGCCTACACTATATCATGTCTCTTCTAATTGTGCCTTTGCCCAGAAGATGACAATTGTAAGCTGCAGGGAAATGGTTAACAAGCTACTGACTGGGTAGATGGAACTGGCAGATGGTGTATTATCTGATCACTTTTCCTGCCAGTACAAGGAGCAGCAATGAACCATGAAGGCAATAATTTTATTTTTCAAAGTGTTACGTGGGCCAATGGTTAAAATTAATGCCTTGCCATTGGTATACCACAAACGGCAGAGCATATACACTGAATGTGCACCAGACTGTAAGAAACTTCAATATACTGGACATGTATGATTAAATACGGAGGCTAAGTAGCAGCTTTGGTTTCAATTATGGACATTAGCACATGAATTGTGGCCACACTGCAAATAGCAGTTGGGTAACATCACAGAAACAGCAATAACTTCAGAAAGTTCTGGGACAGGACACGGATGAACATAGTTTAGTTTAGGTCCAAGTATACCATATATGACATGGCTACTGGAACCAGAAATGAACAACCACACAACGTGCACAACGATAAAAAGGAAACTGATCAGGCAAAAGGATTTTGTATTATAAGTGACAAAAGTGAACCATACTTTGGATTATGCCTTTCCACTTTTGCTCTTAGGATACTTGGTCCAAGCAGAGTGCCGATCTGATTCAGACACTGACTAGCTGCACTAGAAGTCAAAGCATTCTCACACTCCTAGAACAGAGAGACAGCAAAAATTACTTCCAGGTTTGAAATATTGCATGTTTTATGTTTTATACCCATCTGTGACCTATTTACTGACTCTCCCTCAAAACTGACCTATAAGTTTATGGCAAAAAATATATCCTACAAACAGCTTATTCTGCAAAGGGTTAAAATTCATATTTCATGGTTGACAGCAAATATTTTAATGGGGGTTTGCTGCAAGTCAATTTCACTTACCAGGGCATAGAAAACTGGGTCCAAGAACTCCTCAACAATGGACTTGAAGACTTTCTTGCCAACTCCCTTTGCCAGAAGAGGTAACTGTTTACAAACTGTCTCAAGGAAGACAACATGGTGGGTGTAGTGTCGATACTGACAGGCCTCTCCCACTAGGGGCAATGCAGTAAACACTGAGTGGGACAGATCAGGGATCTGCGACAGCTCAGACAGCAGGTACACACATCTGAAATCCCAAAAACTGATTTGAAAAGGAATGCAGCTTCTATTAAAATGTCCTTTTCTTATAACTGCTGAGTACTGGGTGTTAAGAAGTGTACAGTGTTTATTATTATTAGTAACAACACAAAAATACTTTAAGCACTACATATTTTAATGTAATTCATGTTATACATATTTTGGCTCAATGAATTGTTTTCACTGTTATTAGTAACAACACAAACGATACTCCAACCTTTAACATAGGAATGTTAGCTATATCTAACAGCAAGTAACTCCACTGTAGCCAAAAGTTAGATTCACCTAACACAGTACACAGCTCTCTTTGGGATTTCTGACAGTTTGATCTTTGGGTTGAAACCACAATAAACCCATGCAAGGTCAAGTCAGTGGTTCATTCTTTAGCTCTGAACAATGAAATCATTTATCACGGTACCGGTTTCGACACTATTTACGTTTAGATGTCACTATTTATGAAGGGGTCAGCCAAACAGAGCACAGCTTTGTTCTGAGAACTGAGAAGTAAATATTTATCTGAGCATGCATAGTAGTGCTACTTGAGCTTGCAAGGAAGTGGGTCATTTTCAAGGATGGGTTTTCAGTAGCGAATTATCAGTCAGAAAGTCAGTGTCAAATTGTCAATTATTTATTTATAAAACATTTTTATTTTGTGTCTCAGTAGAGGTAGAGCTTCAATTAATTAAGCACAAGGACAACTTTATCTTGTACAGACAAATTACAGGGTATACATGAAACCATGTAATTTATGGGAGATTTCAGGGATGTTCAAGGTAATTCTGACATGGTTTTGGGTTTATGCGCTGTCTTTAGAATGTAACCACCACATACGATATGATTCCACCGTAATCATTAACAGTGAATATTACATTGAAGTTCGTTGATACAAGTAGCTGTTGGATATGATGTCAATGCTGTGTTAAACTCTATAATGTCACAGACTCATACTCATGTTTTACAGCATCAATATGATATGTGGAATTGCTCTTTTGGTTCCTAGGAGCTAAAGTCCATTACTTCAGTTCCTCATACAAAAATAACAATGTAAGTTAATATTTTCTTACCCATCTGCCATTTCCCAAGGTTGTGAAGGTCTTTTGAACTTAGGGTCAGTGCAACCACCCCGACCCATTTTTGGTGCCAAAGATCCACATGAATACATCTGAAATTATTGCAAACTCAACAAAATTGTTTCATTTCACCCAAAACTGTATGTAAATAATATATTATGACTAACATTTACGAATATTTCACCTCTGGCTACTGTTACTGGCCAGCTTTTATCAGAGGCTCAATAAAATGAAATGATATTGTAGCATGTAGAGAGTTGTTACTAGGTTATGGCACAGTAAACAACTTATCAGTGTAACAATAATTGCACACGCAATAAATCATGTTGATGGAGGCATCACACAACAAGAGGAGAGCTGCAGGGAGCAGTGTTGGTACGCAGTCCAACACCAGGTGAACAGTGTGGCTGCAAAGGAACATGAGATACCAGTATCCAATGTCAACAGAGGAACAGTGTTTATGCTGGGTCCATTAAGAGGTTATATCACTCAACTTACTGAGTTGAGTTCAGTTAGTGTTAGTGTAGTGGAGTGAGTTGGTAGGTGATTGAGACAGAACTGCTGCAGTTCAGTCCTTGTGAACTGTTGCTGTTAAAAGCTAGCAGCTGAGGCACAAGAACATTTCAGGAACCCAGAGGAAGGGGAATGTCCGCGTTGCAAGCTGTGACCAGAAAACTGCCAAAGTCACAGCATGCTGGGAAGACTTAGTATGTGCTGTAGTGAACTAGAGTGTGTGTGATTTAGTGATTAGTGCTATAGTTATTTGTAGTTATGATCTGTAAGTGTTCAATAAATCCAGCTACCAATCCAAATCACATCTAAAATCACTCATACATGTGACAATATGATGCTGTGGTAGCTGTCATCATAATGATCACTTTTCAAGGAGTCAGATCAACCTATGAACCTTAAAGATATGTGTGAGTCTTTACAGGAACATAAGTTACATGGTTCTTTGATGAACAGGAACCACGACGTGGTAGGCACTCATCTTCCTTTAAACAGAAGCAGTATACAGAACACAAATCAAATGGTTCTAGATTTTAACAAAGTTTTTTAAACCATACTTATAAATAAACTAATTATAATAATTTATAAATATTTTAATAAATTCAGGCACATCACTGTAACTGTTAAAGGCTAAAATTTTATATTCATGACATTGTAATAGTACTGTCTGTATGTATTGAGAATAATCAATCACATTGTAATAGTAGTTCTGCATATACTGATATGTCCTTCTGAAGTTGGTCGCTCTGAGTGAAACATGTCCAGGATGAAAGATTAAAAAGGAGAAAGAACATTTATCAATCACACTGGATGGAGTTGATAACCTTTTATACTATTCCTAGTGTGATGGACGAGGATGAACCAAAAGAACAAACTCTTTTTGAAAAGTGTAAAATAATGCCATTCAGTTTGAATGTTATGTTTAGCAGGTGTCACAGTGGACTGACCAAACTGACCAAACTGAAGAATGCCTAGCCACTTTTAATGTAGAATTCCAATATAAAATTTCACTCGAGCCTGTTTTAATTCTGGGATATGACGGAATAATAGATGAACATGTTATCCACGTTAATTTTTTTAACTGCCTCCACTTCATACAAAGAAATGCATGTGGGGGGGGGGAGTGAAACTTCAGTGGGCCTGCTCATTTTAACATGTCTTCACATGAGCATTTTGGGAAGTAGAGGAATACTACCTTACAGGTAATGGGAAAGGTAAGTGGATCAATAATTGCTGCTGATGTAGAGGTTGGGGGCTAAGAGGTAAGGAATGAGGACAGGATATTCTGGTGGTTCCAACCGTAACTCTAGATTTTCACAGACTGTTTCAACTTCATACGAGGGTACACAAATTGCACTCGTGTGTGTTACACCACAATGAACTTATCTAGGAACAAAGAATACCACCTTCTGGGATATAACATCATGCAGCCTATGGAAAGTCAACCGATCTATCGGAGGAGCATACCACCTCCATGTTCAGGGTCAAATAAGCGAAGCAAGACACCAGCATGAAAGCAGGCTACAGTGCCAATTAATATGCTAAACACTTAAATTTTCTACATAGAATAAGATTCTAAATCAAATTCAATTTTGGAGAAAACAGATATATCTAAATCTACAAATGTCGCAATCAATTTGTTTCTTCCTCAAAGCCCACCAGTGAGAAGACCTCTCTGGAATCATAGTCTAGACCACCATTGTCATGCCACACCTCACACTTATCCTGCCCCTTAAGATCTCTGCCTACTTAAGTTCCTCAATCTCAAAAACCCCTTCTCACTCAAAAAGAGAGGCAGATGATGCTTCAGGCTGAGTCCTGTTTGTCACATACTGGGAATAACCCATAATTTAGTTACCTTCCATCACTAAGAAAACTTACAAATATGACTGTCTAGCCACATGTCATACCATGGGATGCTGACTTAATGGTATATACCATAATGCAAACTGTCCTTTAAAAATCATACAAGTGACAACCATATAAGCTCTAGCATACAGATTATGCTATTCTTAAATATGGAAAGTAATGATGCATAGAGAATCTACAAATAAACAATGCCTGTCCAGAAGTACTTAGCCTAAGTATAAGCGGCCTCCGTAGTCAAGGTGTAATGTACCCACCTCATGACTCAAGGTACGCAGGTTCAAACCCGGCGGAGGTCGTGGAATTTTTAAGGGCAGAAACAGGGCAGGGAACAAGTCCTCCGGGAGGGACTTTAAGCCGTGGGTCCCGTCTCATAGATTTACGGCACGTAAAAGGTCCTCATGTCTCTAGGAGACCTCTGGGCAAAATTAGGCAAAGAGTTTCCCGCCCAAGTAGTTTCCAATTACTCCGGTAGATGGGGAAATATTGGGTACCGTTGCTAGCCTCTGGCTGAACAGGGTTGATCATGAGCACCAGTACTGGCAGGGTATGGCGACTGGTAGAATATCAAAGGGGGACGTACAATAGACTATTAGTCGCGGTGCATGGGGAAACCCACCTCCTCTAATAATAATAATAATAATAATAATAATAGCCTAAGTATGGAACGGCCATGAAGAAAGTAGTTACAAAATGAGGCAGACAGAAAGTGACTTTAGAAATCTTCCTGTGAAATGTTCTCCTGCTACTGTACCTGTTTATCAGAATGGAGTTCAGGGTCATTATCTCGTAACCTCTTCACAACACCAAACGATGCCTGACCACGTTCCATGTCAGGGTACCGCTCAGACTCTGCTGGTTGGTTCATAACACCCTTCAGTCCTGCGGTTGCCTTCTCCATTACAGTTGCTACTGCTTCCTGACCATATGCTCGTACAATGTTAGCGAGTGAGGAAGCAGCCCCTTGTCTTACTGATGGAATTGGATCCCCCAGATTACAGAAGAACATCGGATATAATGATGGAAGAGCGCCCCGGGACTCTTCAGGAAAACACAGAATGAAGTTTCCACAAGCCATACATGCGGCTGTCAACAAAACCATTACACAGGTATCAAGTAAATGAAAACAGGCTGGTCAGAGTGTTTTCTCTCAGGGATAAAAGCTAAGGGGTTCATAAACTAAATTAATAAACACCTGTATCAAGAAATCCAAGAAATGGAACTGAGAGTGCTGGTACAGACAAGGGTCTAGAAATACAACTTAAATTGCCTAGCCTGCTGACTAAGTCCACATACAAAGTCTTGCCATATGCACTGTACAGATATTTGTATAGACGATACTTAAAATCTCAGTATTAAGTGCTAAGATCAAAGAAAAACAGAGATGAAGAAAGCAGTCTTCTGGGATTTGGCGCCGTGTATATGTGGTGTTAACCGACGTTTCGGAGGAACGTATCGCCTCCATCTTCAGGGTAGAAGAAAAAATATAAGAAATCTGCAAGCTAAGAGACCGTGAGAACCGGTAAAAGCAGACTGTGTGGAAATATACACAGCTATGTGAGAGAAGAGAGGGTAGGGGGGGAAGGGCAAGTATACAAGTGAAAGCAGTAGTGTGGGAGGGGTAGGGGAAGGGAGCTGGGACAAGCGTGGTTTTGTGTAGGGGAGAGAAAGGCAAGGTTAAAGGCTGGGCACTAACCCGTCAGCTGA